TGCAGTAAACCATTTAAGTAATGGTACAGGAAATACACCACCAGGAGGTAAATTTTTATTATTGCAATTAGAGTTTGCAGTTGCATTATTATAATTACAAGACTATAGGTAATTGTAATTAAGCCCAAAATTAGAATCGTAATTCATAGTGGTCATTAAACAGGTCACGACATGACTGCAGCTGATTTATGACTTTTTTTGCAGCAGTTGTTAAGCAAACACTACACTTGTTAACCAAACCTGTTTTACTCAATGAATGTTTTTTTGCCAGAAACTAAAATTCAATGCTGGTTTCCAGCAAAACTGCCCAAAATCACAATCATATGACCGTGGGATGTTGCGAACAGTCATAAATGCAAGCTGGTTGTCAAGCATTCAAAATGCAATCATGTGACTGCATGTGGGGCATGGTTATCGGAACTCCAGAACTGGGTTATAAGTTCTGGGGAGGTTCTTTGTAATCTTGAATGGCTGCCAAGTGACCAGTAGGTTCACTTTGAATGATTTTCATTTAGAGGGCATATGTATTGGAAAAGCAAGTTCGCATCATTGCCAGAGGAATTAACTGTGTTGTTTTTAAGTCCATCCATCTGTCACTCTGTCTAATAGCCTGCCTTACATTCAGGAGTTCAAGATGTACATAGCCCTCCCCACTCCCGTTTCCCCTGACAATAACAACTCTGAGAGTAGATCGAGCAGAGAGAGAGAGCAATTGCACAAAATCAACTAGTCAGCTTCTATGGATGAGATTGGACCTGTATCTCATAATTCCTAGTTCAATTTTTTCACCGCTATACATATGTGAAGAGGGGGCAGGAAAGCAGTAGCAATTGCTCTGTATTCTCCTGGTATTTTATTTAAAAAGTGAGTTCAAGTATATAGTCTGCTCACTCCTGAACTTTTACTGCTGGGAGAAAATGTTACCCAGATCCTATTCCTTTCACATTCCCTTCCATATATAATGTTTACTTTTTGTCTTAGAATTGGAGTAGAATATAGGATTCAATATAAATTTATTTTTGGTTCCTTGATACATTTGATTAGCAAAATAAAAGTTTTTTTTTGTCTCTGGCTTGCTTTTTCCAGACATATCAAAAGCCAACCCACATCCTCCTAATTATTATGAACTAATGGAATTTGATCCTTTGGCCCCTTCTGACCCAACCAAGTAAGTGATTGTCAAAATGACTCAATTGTTGCTTGCTTATTTCTTGTCTTAATAGTCCAGGCCAACACAGACAGCTTTTCTTATACAAGCACAGCAAAAATATTGTATTGTACATATTTTAAATCATTAGTGATAGCCACTAAAATCGAACAGCCACACAGATTTAATGTTTCTTTGTTTCATGTTACTGAATTGTATTTAATAGTACCCATTCACTAGTGTGATATCTCTTTTGCCATTCCCCCCAACTTTCTTACCAGATACTGTATGGGGGACCGCAGAAAAAAGTTTTGCTGAATGAGCAGTTATCTGTTTATGTGATACTGCATTTTTACCATTATAACACTATTTATATACACTATTCACTTTGGGAAGAGAAGCAAGCATCATTAATGAAAAGCATAGAACAGGCTGAGTGTTAACAGCCAGTAGCTTGAAGGGTGAAATGTCTATGCTGGCCTCCAAAGTGGTGCCTTTCTCCAAGATAGAACAGAGTAGAACATGTAAAAGATTCAAACTCCACAAAGGAGCAAACACTTCAGCCATACATAGCTGAGAAGAAAATGCAGAACTACATCCATTCATCACCACATGGTGAGTGATGAAAGAATGAGAGAGACAGCAAAAGGAGAAAGATAAGTTCACAAGATTACTGGAGAATATTTAAGGCCATCAAGACTGGGATTGGACCTGGGTTGTCAGAAAGTATAAATAAGAATCTGAATTCCCACATAGGAATAGCCTACAGTCTATTCACTTCAAATTCCATAGCTCAGTATCACTTATCCCAAAGAACCTGACCCTTGCATTGTAATCAGGGTAACTTCTCATCTTCCCTTTTTGGGTCCATAAAAAGTGACCTCTGGTGTTCATTATACTCATTTTTCTGTTCAGTGTTTTGTTTTTATCCTCTCACAGTTCTCAAATGCACATCTATATTTCTTGTCATATGACCTCAAAATGTTTGAGGAAATCCCACCATAGCTGTACACCATACTTGATAAGTTAAAATCTCCTATTCACTAAGCCTATGGATCTGCAAAAAGAAAAGGAAATTGAGAATACTAAACTAAGCACTATATAAAGTTATGGATTCAGAGGCAAGTTCATTGCCATTGATAGAAACTAGATTGGTGTTACCCATAGAGAAAGGTGGGGAAATTTATTTTTATCCTGAGCTGGCAGCCCAGTTCTACATACTGCAGTGTCTCAGAGGTTTCCATAGTCTGTCAAAGCTGTATTTCAGAGGGAAGATGAAAATAATCTATTCCACCTATTGTAAGCAAAATAATTAGACAACTAAGGGAAGGGATATGAATTTGCCTTCCTGATGAGCCTAATGGTTAGGAATTGTGTCAGGTATCATAGAAGTATTGTTTGTCAAATACGTAAGATAAGTGCACCTGAATCACAAATTGAACATATTTTTATTACTAATGAAAATATGAGCAGTTTGATGAGTATTTTAACTGTCGCTTAGCTGAAATGTGGCATGACTGGTTCAAAGAAAATTGTTTGGCAGCTATGCTGCGAGTAATTTTTTTTTATTTTAAGGACTTGATCAGCAGGAATGTGATATAAGTGGTATATTTGTCTTGAACACTCCTATGTGCAAATATTGCTTTACTCACGAATTTTTAGATTATTCCTTATCACAAACTGTTTATTATCTGCTTTGATTTCAGACATATTTATGAAGAAATTGATCCACACCTCTTCAAAACACAGGTTAACATCAAGTGCTAGAAGCAGATGCCAATAGCAATAATTTATTTAACAAAATGGTAGATTCTGATTGCTTCAAAATGTGTCATGTAAAGACAAAATCTACTCAGTAGGCTGAGATTTGAGATAAGTGTTTTATAAAACTGTTCAAAATAAGACACTTCAAATCTAAGGTGTGTATCCTACACACCCTACCTAGGTACATTGCATTGGGTTCAACTCTCACTTCTGCAATCTTTGGATCCAAATCTACAAAACTTTCATTCTTATAGCAAGTATAACACCCAGAATCTTGCACCCAAAAGTAGATTACTTTTATAGAATCCTTCAATAATAAAAGCAAAATCTTTTCCTATAGGAAGAACTACACTGGATATTGTTGATTGATTGATATCTGATAGAACTGTTTATGATCCCATTCTTGAGTGTTGGATCAATGACTATACCTATAGAGGCCCAAGTTCAAATCCAAAATGTTGAATATGAGAGATCTAGCTATTAATTAAACCCTGCAGTCAGATTTCCCAGCAGGATGCTTGGTAGGAGAGACCTTAGTTTCTTTAATGTTGGTCTTTGGTGAAAAATAATCACTACTAGGAGGTTGAAGTTAGATTTCCTTGAAGTACATATCCTATTCTTTAGATAGTTAGCCATTCTAACACTTTTCTCAGTTATGGAATGCACTTTAAAAGCAAAAGAAAGTATGCACAAGCCACTGCAAAACAGAGCATATGAATCTGTAGCAATTGCAACATGCTGTAGTAGCAGGTCTTGTTCCACATTGTCTTAATGCAGTTTTATCTGTTTTCCTGGATTATTTCATTCTCTCTTAACAATGAAGCTAAATATGTATGAAACAGTAGTTTTCCTAAGTTATGGAGGGTTGCATTGGGACCTGCTCCAACAAAAGCACTGCCAGAATGCATGGGCCCAGCAAAGTATAAAATAATGCATTGTGGGGTATTTGGAATGATTGTTATTGTATTCATATTGTTACTTTCTATTATTCCCAACAAATCAGGATATCTTGAATAACACTTACTTGGTCATGAGATCATATAAATGTGTGATTGAAATAAGTGCCTTTTCTCTATATTTTCCCAGATCTAGTGTTCAAACCTTTAATAAATTAGTACCCTTTAAGTCTTGAGTGATATGTATAGCATCATTTGTTTTACAATGGCTATTAACATACAATTCAAGTAAAGAATCTGGAATGGAAAACTGAATTAAATTTGAACACAAATGCTCTCAAAGGTTTTTTTATGGTTAGCTTGTTTTTTAAGTAAAGTTTTGTGATGCATCAGATCCACTCTACCAGATTTGCTTTGTACTGTTGTAGGATCTTCCATAAATATTAAGGAGATGCATTGGGAAGAGCAGGGAAAACACAAAAGTAACAAATGTTATTTTCTGGGCAAATGAGCTTTACAACAACATTGTTAAACCTATATAGATTTTATATTGGGGGGAAGGAAATCTTCTGACCCTCTTTTTTTCCATTGATTTCCACCACACAGTAGAATTTGGGATAAACAAATCATTTTACATTTGTAATGCAATATATTTTAGATATTGTTTGACATCATTTTCATAGTACTATACCCTAAGAGTGATATTAATTTCTTCTTTTGGGAAAGCAGTTTGTCAAGTTGTTCAAGGCAGGGATCTAATCAGATTTACTGAAGTTAAAATCCCATGTTAATGGAATCATTTTCTCAACCCACCTACCTCTAAAAACAGATCTATTTAGGAGGAAAACAGCACCATCTTCCACACTGAAAAATTGGTGCAACATATTTAATATGGTTATTGGATTTTAATCCATTTTCTGAGTTTGTAGACTGGATTTGTGCAACATGCTAAGGGTACCCTAAGCTTAGCATGCTATACAGATGCAGCTATTCAAACCTTTATTGACCTCGTTATGTGTTACCAAAGTAATAATGAAAATAGAAAGAAAAGAATCAAAGTATAATTGTATTATCCCCGAAGAACTCAAGAGGAAAGGTTTAAGTGAGGATACTTATGGGGTGCATAAAAGCAGCATTTTTTTTAAAAAAAAGTTGTTTTTATTAGTTATTCTTCATTTATTTTGGCTTGTGGGTAACTCATGAAAAATGAGAATGTAGCTTTTAGCATAAAAAGCTGCTGCACAGAATGACTGAGTTTTAACACACTACACTGAATAATAGTGCACACTTATTTAAAACAGCGTACAAAACTTACCAGATTTGTGCTGCTTCTGATTTAAGGTAGGCAAGTAAAGTCAAATCTAGTATTTATTACTTTACTGATTTACTTATTACTTTATTAGGCAAACATCAGATCTCCAAAAATAAATTATTTACTATTTCCCCTTTGACACATTAATCTAGTAACGTTTTAGATAACTCTAGAATGGAAATTTAAAAAAAAACTTTATAAAATGACAGCCATAAATTAGCAATTGGATAGATCCTCCTGTAAATAAAAGAGACAGAAATGAACAAAATCAGCTGTTTCCATTTCTTTGTATTCTTAATTTGGTTTTAAAATGAAGATTAATCACATCTCCAAAGAGAAGACACATCAGTGCATATTCAGGAAATAAAACATAATGCCTGAAATATTCAGCCTCTTCCTGGGCTTAAAGTAGTTACTTTTACATAGTCAGTGGAGTATCAATAGAGTACTGAAGAGAGAACTCCAATGTAGAATCTACATATTGTACTGTTAATTATAACCTGGAAGCGGTGGTTTATATCCCATTTTGGCTTCAAAAAAAGTGTAAGAAAGAGTAATCAAATTAACTCTCTCCATCTTTGGGTCTTCTACAAATTCAGGATCAATGAAGAAAAATACTGGCATGTCCACTTCCTCATGAGGATTGAGTCTTTGTTCTTCAAAACAAAAGCACTGAAAGAAAAAAAAGTTTTTTTTTCCTAAAATTGAATAATCAGCTAATTTCTTTTTATGTTTTGTCTTAACCTTTAATTCAATACATTTTAAAAAAAAAGATTAAAATATCTATTTTTAAACTCACCGTGTCAAGTAATTATTTTATACATTTTAAAATTCGTCTAAATATAAAGCATTTAAAGAAATAACATCAAAAACTAAGGAATACTGGTGAACATACTGGTTTTATTCATATTTCAGGGAAAACTGAGCATTTTGAACTATTGGAAATCTCATGTTTATTATGCTATAGAAAAGTAAGATGGCAATCCTTAAAGTAAAAAAATGAAATTATACAGAATTCAAGAGGACAAGAGTAAGACGTATTGAGAGCATACCATAAATCTAATTCTGCAAATATGGATTATCAAAACAGATTCTAGTTTAAGTTATAAATATTTGGGGAACTTAATCAAACTGAGCAGCACTTACCTGTATCTTATTGAAATATTGTCCAGCCTCAGGTGGTAGTACATTGTAGGTAGATATTCCAATTATTGGTCTATCAGTGGGATTCTTTGCTTTATAAAAGGCCAGTGCAGTTTCTCCTGGAACCACCTATTTTAAAAAGTTATAACTGTTATGTTTCTAGATTCTTCCCATACTTTTTTTCCCTTGCAAAATGGGTTTTCAACAAAGTCTGTGCACCAAGTTATATTAAAGCAGTGTTTCTCAAAAATTATCTCAGAATTCTGACAGTTGGTGTCCACACATCTTTAAATCTGTTGGGGTTGAAAAATATAGCATTAAAGGCTCCATAATTTGAGGTGGACTATCTCCATTGGCATTGTATTTCAAAATATTTATAAAAAGCCATTTTAGATTAAAGATATTAACCAGAATTTGGTTCACTCTAATACCAATGACAGACCAAGACTACATTTTCTGATTAAACTGCACAGTGGTACTAGGATTTAACCTGGTTGCCATTAATGTTTGTTGGTAGCATAAACTTAATTCTAAAATTAATTTTGCTAACAGAAATTAGTAAATCATAATTCATTGTTTGATTGTATCCCATTTACCTAATTGAAAAGGAGCCTCTTAACTACAAATTCTCAGTTGGCTACAACTACTCACATTCTTGATTATTTTTATAAGAGCAGTATGTCATTTTATTGTAAAAATGCTTATAAAAATTCATGCAAAATTCACCCAGCAGATTTTAATTACTTACATAAACTTCAGTCTGCTGAGGCTTGAAGTTCCACTGAAGACTTGAATGTACATCTGAATTGAATGTGACTTTAATGATGCGGTCTTTTACAGGCTCCATAGTCTCAATCTGCTCTGAACTATGACCATCTAAAGCTGACCCACCAAGCCCGGTAGCCTGAAAGGAAAATAAGCTGAAATTAAAAACTATCTGCTTGAAAACAATTTATTTTCGTGGCAATAAGAACAGAGCAGGGTTTTTTTTTCATTAGAGATTGTTCACTTAAAATTAGCAACACTTACTAGAGCTGTGCAGTGCTTTAGATTCAAAGGCAAAAAGATGCCTCAATGTTTGCAAAGATGCTCACGTAATATTTCTCTGCAGCTCCTTAAAGCAGCTGTTGTCTTTTCTCAGGATCATGCAGTTCTCTTCTGTAGTTGCAGCAAGATCCTGGGAAAAGATGAGTTTGGTTTAAGTAGTTGGAGAGAGGCGCAATGTATGCATCCATTAATGCTTCAAAGCAAGTTTCTGAATCTGAAGTATTCCACGGCAATAAACTGAGCAGCAGTTATGGGTTCCCTTCCCCCACCTCCAAAAAAGTGTCATGGTTGATCAAAAGATTTATCTGTGTCTTATTCTTCAAGGAGACTAACTAAATACTAATGAGGACTTCACAAGAAAGATATGAAGTACACTAAGGAAATTCATATGTGCACTGCAACTGTTACTAGAGATAATATATAATTGCCAGAGTTCTCCCACCTTCATAACACTAAAATCCCCTTACAAGACTCGCTGTCAGCAGATAAGCACTTTCATGTAATGGCGAAGTTGTTTCAGTAAAACTGGCAAGAATGGGAGCACTGAGTAAGTTGTTGCTGAACAGTTAAAAGTGGAAAGGATAAATTATTTTAGACAAGAAATGCAAACATAAAAACCAGAAGAAAAGAACAAACCATCTCTATATTGGTACCAAGACAAGCATATGGACATGGCTGGAACATTTAGACAAATGGTGGTGGTGCCAGATATTGAGAATCCCTTTGTTCCAGAAGTTATAAAATAGTTTACTAATTGAAGAATATTGAATTTTCATATAGAGATCTGGATGTGATGATGTAATCAGATTGAAGCTAGAAGGAAAGGCCAGTAAAATATTATATTCAAATGTCCATTCAATTTGAATTTGCCATTTAAGTCAAATTTGACATCACTCTGGTCAAAAGTATAATAAAGGTATCTCATATAAATTATATAAATTTGTTGGTCTGGATTATTTTGGGTACAATAGACTTTGTTAAATTGAGGTGAAATCTGGATGTAGTTTAAGTTTATTTGAAAACTACTAAAGTTGTTAAAACTGAAATGTTACTATCCAGTGGTGGGATTGAAATGTTTTTACCGCCAGTTCAGTGGGCGTGGCTTGGTGGGCACATTATGCATGTGTGCACACATTGTGCGCGCATGCCAAACACGTACTTTGCGCAGGCACAGAGGCGTTCTAACTCACCTCCTGCAAGCCTGCACGATCCCGGTTGCTTCATCAGCTGCCATGCAGCACTCTTCTGTGCTGCACAAAGCAGCTGCGCTTCAAATTCAGAGGATAAAGGTGAGTATGGGAGTCCAGGCGGGCAGGTGGGCCCAACAGCAGAGCAGTGGAGAGAACCGGTTTGGTCTCCGCTGCTCATCGCTGCTTACCAGCTCTGCAGAACTGAGCCGAACCGGTAGAATACCACCACTGTTACTATCTGAAGGAGTTCTTCCCTTTACAAGGAGATAAACAATTGAAAACATGAAAAGTGTGATACGTGATCAAGGAAAACTAAAATTGTCAAAATAGAAAAAAGTACTAAATTAGGGGGGGATAGAAAGTGGCAAAAGCCAAGAACATTGGGGATGGTTAAAAGAAAGTAAAAATGGAAAGTGCTGAGATAATTAGAGGTTTGGCCCAAGGTATGTTTGACACCAAGAACATTAATGGAATAGCTAAGCAATTAAGGAGAAGTAGGAAATGGAAAGCACTAGGAAAATTGACAAGTGAGCTGACCCACTTGCAGTAGAAGGAAGGGACAGACATACCAGCCTTGTCCTATTTGCTTCAAAGTACCTTTTCAGATTTTGTTTCAGCTCAAGCTTTGAATAACCAAAATGTTCAGATTTCAGTTCTACCAAATACAGTTTATCCTCAGTGTATATTTATTATACTGCACAAATGCACAAATTATTTAAATCATGGCACACTGATGTTTTGCTTAAGATTTTATTTTAAAAAGGACTACAGCTAGAGAGAAAAAATAATGCAGGAATACAGTATCTTAGAAAAGGCAGGGGAGCATGAGATAGAAAACAAGATGGATAATGGAGCAACATTTACCTCTGATTTAGAATATTAACCATAAAGAGGCCTTAGAAATGGCAAGACCATGGAATTTTACCAAAGCCAATGGATGTCAAAGCAACCTGTTATTCTATTGAAGAATCTTTAAAGTGACAAAAACCACTGTAAGAATTGGTTAGAGAAAGGGGTTAGATCACAACAGGGAAGGGAAAGAGACAAAAAGACATGTCTATTTCATGTGTTCTGTGTACATACAGAGTGGGACTGGAAGAAGGGATCAATTTAAGTCAGTGCCTCCTATACACCTGAGATTTGCAAATTCAAAAGCAAAAATCAGAACCCCCCAAATCCAGGTCGCTACTCAATTTTAAGTCAACGGTAACGTCGACGTCGACTATCACACCCACATGTACTCGGGAGTTAACGGAAAAGACCTGAAGGTCGTGCGTTTGTTTCCTTGTGCACAAACACAAATAGACAGCGTCTTTAGATAAAAGCAATTGGGAATAATAAATTTAGACAAGATCGTGAAGAATGAGGACACTCCAATAACAAGGAAGATCAGAAGTTTTAGCAGTTAGCAACCAGTACCTAAGATCGCCGCTTTATTCTCGCATCACGTATCATGGACCACAAGAACTACCCCTGATCTCGCCCCCGAAAACACAGTAACTCTACGGGGCATTGTCGACTGAAGGCAGACTCTAAGCCCGCCTCCTCCTACTCCCTAGCCCCCCCGACTGCCCCTCACCTGGCAATAAAGGCGATAGAGCGGCACGGCTGCGTAGGATAAGCCTGCCATGCCCACGACCCCGGCCGCCAGATAGGTGAGCACCGTCCTGTTGCGCTCCTTCCATTGCTGCTCTTGCTCCCGGCGAAAAGCAACGACAGGCTCGGCGCTCTTCTCGCGCTGGTCCCTGCGGAATTCCTGGCTGTTGCCACGGTAACAGAACCTAACCGGTTTGCAGCCCCAGGCTCCCAAAGTTCGGGCCACCAGCACGCAACCCTTTGCTCCCAAACGCATACTTCTTCCTGTCACGTGAGCACTCCTTTTCTCTTTGGCTGCCTTTCGCAGGCAGAGCGCGATTAGCAACTATCGCGAGAGGTACCCAAGGTCGAACCAGGCGGTGGCGTCGCTTTGATGCTGGCAAAACTTCCAGCGCTGGGGTAAGAACGTTCTGACTACGGCGGCCGTTAGGGGGTAAGTTTGCGTTTGAGTTACCTGCCGCCTCTTTGCTCCGCCTCCGAGCGATGCTAACTTCCTCAGGAGCGATGCTAACTTCCCGCCAAGGTTGCCGGTGCTGGGTTTTTAAATTCAGATCTGGGGTTTTCAATCCTTGTTGGGTTTTTAGGTTTTTTTATTTTAAAATTTAATTAATGAAATCTAAGTTTTTTCTATACGTTATGTTATATTGTAGGTATTAAGTAGGTGAAGACAGTTTAGTTTAAAGTGCATTTATGGTGTGTTTTGGCACCTGGTCTTTTTTTTTTCTCTGTAGAATCTGGGTTTATCTGAGCAGGACCCTGGCAACCCTGATAAATAGGTAAAAATAATTTAGTTTAAAACTGATTTATTGGCTCTTCTGTTATCTTTTTTTATGTAGAATCTGGATCTATTTAAATATAGCATTTTAGGATTTTTGTTTTGTTATTGTAAACTCCACTTGCAACCCTGCTTCCTGCAAATTTTAGGTGCCCCAGGCTAAGCTTCAAAAAAGGACTGATGCACTGCAGACTTGTTGGTTATCCAGACACACCCCCTAGAAATCATGGGAAAGCTCTGGCCTTTAAAGAATGCAGTCTAAGGGTTAAACTGTTTTGAAAATTTCAAACTTCATTGGGAATCAAAGGAGTTGATATGTACATCAAAGGACATGAGCAGGATAAGGGAGCTGGACTTGGGGAGACCACCTTTAGCCACCACAAAGCTCCCTGTGTGACCTGAGACGAGGCAAAGTTTTTCAACTGACCAAGGTTGAAAACTTGACTCAAGGTTGCTTTGGGGATAAAGTGGGCAGCAGGTGGAGCTGTGCTAGAATGCTGCTTTGGGTTTCTGAAAGACAATTTTTTAAAGAACTCCAATTGTTCTTTCCCATTATATTGCTTAATTAAGTACGTAGTACAAGTAGTCCTGGAATTACTACATAATTGAGCCCAAACATTATGTGGCTAAGTGAAACATTTGTTAAATGAGTTTGCCCCATTTTACTCCATTGACTTTGCTTCTCAGAAGGTCTCAGAAAGGGGATCACATGACCCCAGGACACTGCAAAGGTCATAAATACGAAGTAGTTGCCAAGCATATGAATTTTGATTATGTCACCATGGGGATGCTGCAACAGTCATAAGTGTGAAAAATGGTTTTCAGTGCTGTTGTAACTTTAAACAGTCACTAAATGAACTGTTGTAAGTCAAGGACTACCTGTATTAAATGGCACACAGCATTACTTTTTATTTATATCCCACCTTTTTATTTTTATAAATAAGGCAGTGAACATGCCTAATACTCCTTCCTCCTCTTATTTTCTCCACAAGAACCTATGAGGTGGGTTGGGCTGAGAGTGATTAGCCCAAAGTTACCCAGCCAACGTTTTATGCCTAAGATTGGACTAGAACTCACAATCTCTTGGTTTCTAGCCTTGTGCCTTAGCCACTGCTCAAACTGGCTCTTTTATTGGTTGCTGTCTGTAGTCTAGTTTGGCAGGGACAATATTACATTCAAACTAAGAAGTACAAACAATTGCGTCCACCTGCCATCCATTCAAGATACATTCTGCACATACATATAAATGTTGATCCGGAATGCAATCATAGAAAAAGTGTGGTAGCTAATAAAAAAGGAGATCAGCATACTAGCTAGCCAGTTTGCTGGCTTCCCCAGGAAAGAATGGATGTGGGAGTGACTCTGTTATTGGAGGGTGGTTGTGATTGCAATTGGTACCCCTATTTAAGGCAGTTTTCATTGGAAATAAGAAAAGTCACCTGATCTCTGCAATGATTGGTTCGGAGAGATATGTCAGGAAGTACAGAATAAGCCGTTCCAGTATAAAAGGGACCATCATTTGGATGCCAATCCCCATTTTTGGCTCTACAGCTTCCATCCTGGGTCTTGGTGGCCAAGATTGTTATTGTTCTCAGACTTAAGCTCCTAAAGATGTGGGATATTTTATTTTTAAACTAAGAAATATTCAGTAAATTCAATACCAGCTGTATCAAACAAACTGTCAAAGAATGTGTGTCTGCATTGGTTTGAAGGCAACCCATTGTAATTGTGCATATGGTGTTCTTTTCTGCCTTACAGCAAAGGGTCAGTTTTAGTTGTGATCCTGTTGGAATATTCCATTATTAATGACATTTGTTGACAGAGATGGCATCCCTAGACTCAAATCACCCTGATATGTAAGTCATATATAATGTTTACACATCTTTAGACCTATAATACGTTCAATACCTCTGATTTATGTTATCAAACAGTTCCTAATATATCCATATCAGCGGTCGGAGAAAATTTTGGTGGGCCGCAGAGAAATCTCCCCCCCAGAGCACTCCCCCCCCAAGAGCAATTAATCCAAGCTGCGCAGAAACACAAGGCTGTGCCACCCACATGGCCCGCAGGAACCCTCCCCACCCACTCACTCCTTACCCGGCAAACTTGCCTGCTAAACTGCTATTTTTCCCTTTTCCGACCATCAGCTGTTCTGCTGTGCCAGGAGATTTAGATTAACTAGGAAGCAGGAAATGGTTGGATTTCTTGCTTTCTAGCTAGCCTTCACATCTTCAGCTCTACTTTTAAGCACAGCCAAACCTTCTTTAGTACTGAAGGTTCTATTATTCAGTGCAGATTCACGGTAAGCAAATTTGAGAGACTGAGCTAGCCGATGACAGATAGATCACTGAATGATTCTGTGAGCAACTCAATCTGCCTGCCTGCTTTGCCTGATTTTAGGTAAAAGTTGCTCTTTTTTAAATAAAAAATGCAATATTTACATACATGATGTGTTGTGACTTAATTTTGTGAGTTTGCTTGCTTGCAAATTTTATGAGTTTGCTTACAAGCAAATTTTATGTGACAGACTGAGTTAGCCAATGGCTGATAGATAAATCTCTGAATGAATCTGTGATTCTGTGAGCAACTCAATCTGCCTATTTGCTTTGCCTGATTTTGGGTAAAAGTTGCTCTTTTTAAAATAAAAATTCAATATTTATATAAATATTTATAATATTTACATACAAGCCATGCCCAGACAGTCACATGACCACCAAGCCACACCCACAAATTAGGCCACGCCCACAGAACCAGTTAGTGGTCCCTGAGATTTAAAATTATGAGTTTGGTGGTCCCTGAGGTCCAAAAGGTTGGCGAGCCTGATCTATATTAATGTTAGCATGGTACATCTAGTTAATGCAAACATAACAAAAGAAATGTGCTTTCAAACATGTTACAAAAAGATGCATACATTACTGTGTTCTTACATACTGAGCTAATAAGATTCCAGAGTCATGTGTTCATCTTTTGTGCCTACTAACAGTAAATAAAGTAAAACCCCAATAAAAGAGAATATATGTCATTCAGAGCTGAACTCTGGAGTCATTGGTGCTCTGTGAAGCTTCAAAAAAATAAAATTCACAAGGGAATAAGAAAACAACACAATATCCTTCCTGGATATCATTTTCAGCAGAAAAAATAATGGAAAATTAAAAACACAACCTTGTTTAAAAACAACCCACAGTCACCAAGTGCTCCATTACCAAAATAATATCCCAATCTTCCACAAGGGTAGCTGTGCAGGAATTATTATTCAGAGGAGATAATGGAATGTGTGGATAAGAGATGCTGCCTAGGAAACAGTAAAACAAAAGTCACAAGAGCTGCCAGTGGCTTAACAATCAGAAAGAAATTTAGGAATGACCTGCTCTAATCATCTAGAATACATGGTGGCTGTAACAATTACTACGTAGGACAGATATGCAGAAGACTAGTAGAGCACATCCATGAACATCAACCAGCTGTAAGAAGACGCAGTGAAACTGAGAAACTGAGCATCCTAGATCAAACCAGATCCAAAAATGCTGAGAGATTCCTGGAAGGCTGGCATTCAGACAAATCAGATATCAATAGACACATAGAAATACAGCATATTTATACATCATTCAGAATAGAAGAAAAAACTAAAAAGGAAACAAAAAGTCCAGCGCACATCCTCTCCAACAGCCAATCCCCACATAAGCAGCAATTAATGCTAGAGAAACAAGCAGAAAACAATATCATACTCAAAGAATTAGCAAGGAGAAACCCTCTTTCCGATCAAAAATGGCAGGGCAAGCTACTACATATAAACAGAGCAAAACCCACACCTACACTGATGATGTTAACTAGTTGGATAATTAAATCTCTGCAAGCAAACAACCAAGTTCAGAGAGCACCAGAGATTCCAAAGTAAAATACATGTTATGGTGCTGTCTGCCATTCCACTTCTTGGTATCTTGTATCTGTGGAACCTCCACGGAGTATCTTGTATGTCTATGGGTATTCTGAAATATTGCTACATCCTTCTATCAGTAAAAGTTGATATTTTACTTGCAAGTTAATTAGAACACGCAGTTTGCCAGTACCAGAATGCTAACCACTTTCTCAGCATTATCTTCTCATTGCAGAGCTTTGAAAAATGGTAAATAGGTAAAATAGATTAGAAACCTAAGCAATGTGTCGATAATCAAATCTGAAATCTTAACTTGAAGTATTGGGAAAAAGAAATAGGCATGCTAAAGTAGATGAATCTAAGCATTCTGGGTGATAAAGAAATATGAAGTATTTAAATTCATTATTTTAATCTTTGCATGCACACACCTTCAAGTCAGTATTGATTCCTGGCAATTTCCTGGACATGTCCCGTCAATTCTGTTGGCAAGATTTCAGAAGTGGTTTGCCCTTACCTGCTTTCTAGAGCTGAGGAAAAGCGATTGGCCTATCACCCAGCTGACTTCATGCCTAAGGCAGGATTAGAACTCACAATCTCCTGGTTTCTAATTTAGTGGCATAACCCACTACACCAAACTGTCTCTCATATGCATAAGATATATTGACACTGTTTACCTCCTTCATATACAAATGTAAGCACAAAGTTTTAACTATTGACAGCTAAAATAATCCAGTGTGGTTGCAATTCTGGGGGAACAGTTTTGAATGGAATCAGCAAGAATTTTGACTCAGAATCAGAAGATAAAGCCCATGAGTATCTAGCTGTAACTTGTGTTGATGCCTAGCATTGTGATTCAGAATGTAAGGATTTAGTTGGTAATTTGTCTATAGGAACATATTAGAAAATAATTGCCTTGTGATACCATTCCAAATTCATCCTCCTGTCTTCTCCTGTGCCACTATGTACATGATTTAGTACAATTCTGTACTAAACGTGTATTGCTAGTCCTTTAGAACAACCTTCTAGTTTATTGCGGGGAGGCTGTTACATACAACAAATAAAATGTTGCCAGATAAGCAGGTTGCAACTACAGCGTGCATTTGTGTACTTTCCTCACTTGTTCACTTTCACTCTTCATCCTGTTTTCGTATTTTTACAAAAATCTCTAGTAACAGTCCAAGATGATTTAGCTCTTCCTATCTTTCAGCTTAAGTCTGAAAGGTTATAGAGAAGACAGAAGTGACACCTGTGCACTACATAGCATTTTTACAGATCAGTGTGATGACAGGTAGCCGACAGCGTAGATCAGAAGTACACAAGAGTGTCATTTTACATTCATGGTACAACGTGCTGCCTATTTACCTGCTTTTTGTCACTAGAAGAGTGCTGCCAAGGTGACAATGTCCTAAGGAAATGTGTCACATTTCTTTAGTACACACCATCTAAATAAAAATGAAATATCATCTTCTAAATGATGGAAGGAAATAATGGAAGGAAACAAATGAGTTCAATCACTTATTCATAACTATTTCTAAAGATATGTGTTTTTCTTAACTTTGTACCAATGTAATAGGCTCCATGTTTCAATTTTTTAAAAACAATTATTTCATAAGTTGCAACCACTCTGAAATCAACCTTGTCTTCTCTATTTCAAAGGACCTTTGTAGACCCACATGGAACTCATCGAACTATACACAATGTTTCATTTTCAGACTGCCAAAATGGATTAGGTAACCAGATTACATATTCAATTTACTCTAATAAAATTGGAGAATTGCCATACTGTTTTGGGCAGGTGGTCCACTCTGATGTAGACAGGATTTATAATGTATGCAGTTATTTAGCAATTACCATGGTATGTTTATCACAGTGGGGAAAATAAGAAAATAACCTGTTTACATTTTGTTTGTTTTAATTGCTCAACAGGCATTAAAATTATTGGAGGCTGTCAAGATCAATCCAAAGAAGAGTATGGAATTTTCATAAAGGAGATATTACCAGAGAGGATAGCTACTACAGATAGTAAATAATTACTTGTTATATTCACTGGTGGCAATGCTGCTTTTTTAAAAAAGCTGTAACAATCCATATATTGGTTTTTTTAAATTAAAGATTCACACATCCAAACCATCTTCTCTTTCCTTCCTCTACAGAATTCCCTCGTTCTGTTCTAGAAATTCCAACCTTTTAGAGCAGATTACACGGGAAAAGCTGGAGTCACCACATCCATAGTTCCACTCATGGAAATAATGTTATCATTTGGGGGGGGAAAGGCCTTGGATTTCATACATTAGATTCAAGTGAGAGAATTTTAGGCACACTATATACCTGTTTTAATCAGGTTTGCAACTTCTCTCTGGGCCATACATACAATAAACCGTGTTGATGGATGGATTATCCTGTGAAAGAAAAGATAAACTTAATCAGCCAGGAGATTAAAAGAATTTGCTTTTAGCTCCAGGTAGCCATGGGGTTCTTTTGAGGAAAATCAAGTCTTCCTATCAACTGTGTTGACCGAATAGAGGGGAAAAGCTGCTCTAAGACCACCTTCCCCATCCCTGTTTTACTTCCCGTAATATGGACAAAGGACAGGAAATATGGAATGTGTTAGCCTCCCCCGGCCATCTCTATCCATGGGGCTCCAAAACTTGTTGGATTACCATGGATGGTTCTTGGTTTTACTTTCCTCTTTACTAGAAATGCAAATGCAGCTTTTTATTCACCTTCCAACCTCTTATATATCAGCTGGCAAGACTGCAAAACTGTCAGTTCCCTCTCTGAGTAGAACATTGTTGATCATATGTTGCTGGTGCATAAGGTACGTCTTTACAGGTGGTGAAAAAATGAATCAGAAATGCAGATATTATATATAGGTCACTAATGCAAGGCAATAATATGTGGTCAAGATATTATAATAGATATGTCGGATATTAAGATTCATATGATAGTTAAGTTACTCCCTACGACAGTGTTTTTATATTAAAACGGGGATCATATAAAAATAGTAAAATAAACAAAACATTGAAAATGGCATAAAAGATAAATGAAAGGTTGCCTTAAATCATTACTATGAAGTTCCATATAAAGATATAAATAAAATAAATGTCATCTAGAAAGCAGTCATCTAGAAAGTAGCTACTAACATTGTAGCTCTGTCATATTGCTGAAAGTATATCAAACGTAATTCTGACATTTTTCTGTCCTGGTGGGATTTTGGTTTGTTTGTTTGTATGTGTGTGTGTACAGTTTTTTTTTCCCTAAATAAATATTTTGTTTTCTTTATGTAGCTGATTTGTAATTAACTATCATGATTTTTTTCTTTTCAAGATCAAATGTGTATTGGAGATTTGATTTTAGAATTGAATGGCCAAAAATTATGTGGTGTAACTAATGAAAGGTAAGTTCTAACATTTAATTATAAGCAGGAAACTTATGCATTATATTGTTAGTATTATTATTAGTAAATGAGACAATATTTTTACAGTATTAGCTATGTTTTTTGTGTTTTTGTAAATAATATACCCAGGCAAAATGCTGTATTCAAAAAATGTTCATGAATAAAATCTAAAAATAAATAATTATTATAAGCATGAACTGGAATGGCTAACATTTGTATTGCCTATTAGTATTTTAGATCAGATTAGCTGCAGATATAGAAAGAAAAATAATTTGCCTCCAACTACTTAGGCCTTGTTTAACATCTTCATGGATAAGATGCCATATAATAGGATAAAGTGTCACTGGCCTGTTTCATGTTTATTCAAGACAAAAAGGAAGCTATCTTAACAATATCCACTGCCAAAATCCAATGATTGCAAAAAGAACATTTAAGGAGAGCCCTACTCTATGTTTGGACAAAAAGTTCCTTTACTTGTGCTTTAACAAGTGTGACCGTCTGGAATTTTTAATTTCTATAATCATGAATCATGGCCTTGTTATGCCAGCATTTAATATGTTTAACAAATGAACATGTAATCAGTTAGATACAATTAGATACAATGAATGAATTACGGTGATGCTTTTGTAACACCTTAATGGAGAAAATCAGTACGTTTAACTCTTCACTTTTAACTTTACAGAGCTCTTGACATGTTACAGATGGCATCGGCAACCAATCATGTGTCTTTGGTCATTGCCCGAGATGAAGATGCAAAGTAAGAAATGTTAGATTTCCCCAAGTCCTAGAAAATTATACTAGATCCAAGACTGGGTGTAGATAGATGTACCATTTCCCCATTATAACAATTTACCTTAATTTCCCCCTCTTTATTTAATCTCTTTCATTAGAGTTTCTTTAATAGTGTGGGAACTTCCCATAGCTCACTGCAAAAATGCAAAGTTTTCAAGTTTTTCTGCAGGTGAAAGAAGAAGAAAAAATCCACAATCCCTATCCTTTTTGAAAAAATTCGGAATGAAAAATAAATGGCACCTCTTCCCACTTAAATAAATCATCTCTGATAAAATCAATAGAGAAGTGAAACCAGATGTGAATAATACATGTCTGGTGATGATTCCTGCAATCTGTTCTTGAAAGGTGAAGTCTGAAACTTTGTTTTCCTCGTCTGTGAGTTTTACATTTGTAGATTTATAGTCTGCTAATTGTAGCAGGTTCACTGTTATGAATAGAGTTATCATAGAGCATTATTTTCTAATCTGGTGCCTTCCAGATGAGCTTAGAATATAACTACTGATATTGCTACCTAGCTATCTAAGGATTCTGGGAGTTGTAGCTGCATTATCTCTGGAAAACATTGCAAAGATGGAGAAAATCGCTGCTAAAGAATCATATTTTTACAGCGTTTGTCTAAATTTGATTTCCCTTCTCAGAACTGCAATTCTGCTTGGGTGGATGTATAGATGTAGTTCCATCTAGCTAGCTAGCTTGCTTGCTTGCTTGCTTGCTTGCTTGCTTGCTTGCTTGCTTGCTTTACTCATTCGTTCATTCATTCATTTATAATACTTGTGAGATCAAACTAAATATTATCTAAGCAAAACATGCATACCAGGTTAGCTAGCAATGGTAGGGAAACTGCTCCTCTATTGAAGGCTTTATATGAATAGGATTGTGCAGGATTTTAAGCTAGTTTTCTTCTAAGCAAGTCTTTGCTTGATTTTTAAAACCTGGCTAACCTCTTGTACAGGAAAACAGCTTTTAAACAACAGAATGCACAAATGCTTGTTCTCAAAGATTGGGGGTAATTGGTAGATTTGTAAAATCTTGAACTGTATTCAAAGAAATAATTGGAGACATTTAGGAAGCAAAAGACAAAATTAAAAATGTAAACATTGGAAATAAATACATTTTGTTCCTATCTGCTGTTTCAACTCTGGAGTAACATTTTGCAGTGAGAAAATATTGGTTACAGTTGAAAGAAAAATGGCTAATTTCCCCTAATATGTGAAATAATACTATGCTTCTGGACACACTTCATTGTGTAATTGCCAATTTTACACAAATTTTCTTGTTCTGTAGATTGAAGATTTCTAATCTGCTTCTAGCTAAGAAATGCTGACTTACTTATAATCAGTTCGGGCATTCCAGCAGTTCTCAGTCCAGAACAGAATTAGAAATCTTGCTAATTTATAATTTTGTTTTATTGGGCTCATACTAACATGTGCTTTTAACTCTTTTTAAATTTATACTGGCAAATTGTTACATAGCCTACATCTGTCTAGTCTTGGAAGCTTTTTTCCATCTATCCATTTTAGTCAGGACAATCCTACTCACTATAGTATTATATTCCTGTAATAACAGGTGAGTACAAGTAGTCCTCAGCTTACCACAGTTCATTTAGTAACTGGTCGAAGTTACAACGGAATTGAAAAAAGTGACTTAGGACCATTTTTCACACTTATGACCGTTGGAGCATCCCTGTGGTCATATGATCAAAATTCAGATGCTTGACAGCTGGTTCATGTTTATGACGATTGCAGTGTCCCAGGGTCATGTGATCCCTTTTTATACCCTTCTGACAAGCAACATCAGTGGGGAAGCCAGAGTCACTTAACAACCATTTGACTAACTGAAAAATTGCAGTGATTGACTTAACAAATATGGCAAGAAAAGTTGTAAAATGGGGAACAACTCACTTAACCAATTTCTCACTTAGCAACATAAATTCTGGGCTCAATTGTGATCGTAAGTCAAGGACTACCTGTACTGATCTAAAGAGATAGACTAAACCAGTGTTCCCAACCTTTCCAGCTTTGCAGACCAGTGACGGCGGGGAATGGATGGTTCTGCATGAATGGTGGGCAAGTGCACACACCTCATTCGCACAAATGGAGCTGCGCACACACTCAGTAGCCGTTTGCACAAGTGGAGCTGTACTCATGCTCGCACGCTGCTTGCACGACCTGGTTCTGAACGGGCCTTGGCACAGGGGTTGGGGACCTCTGGGCTAAACCATATTGAACTTAATCAGATTTATTTCTGAGTAGATCTTCAGATGTTAGTATGGGGACCTGAGTATTATGGAAAAGACCTTCTGATCAAGTATACCTGTATCCCCAGGCTTCTGGGTAGTTATGGAAAAGGTGTCTTTCATTTAGAAAGGTCTGATGCATTTGCTACTTAAAAGCAAGTCTGATTTCCAGAATTGGGCTGTTTGATCTTTCTGGCCATAGATTTATTAAAATCTATGAGAATACCATAATATAACCCCGGCTAAAATAGAACATTTCTTTTCCTGTTTGTGGGTAGAGAAATTGATCCATTTTGCTTATCCCTAGTGATACATTGAATGGTGACAGATCTCCAGATTTGAAAAGACAAGAGAGAATGTGGGAAAGTTACTAGTCAGCCTTAAAAATCAACATGGGGAAATCATGGGCATCTTGGCAAGCCTAATTTTGTGTTGGAATTTATAAAGTAAAAGAACCTTCAAGAAAGTGCATCAAGAATTCTGGCTGTTTCAAGCCTGTCTTTGAGAATGAATTTATAATCTATGTCAGGGGTCACCAACCTTTTGGACCTCAGGGACCATCAAACTAACTGGTTCTGTGGGCGTGGCCTAATTTGTGGGTGTGGCTTGGTGGTCATGTGACTGGCTGGGCATGGCTTGTATGTAAATATTATAAATATTTATATAAATATTGAATTTTTTATTAAAAAGAGAGCAACTTTTACCCAAAATCAGGCAAAGCAGGCAGGCAGATTGAGTTGCTCACAGAATCATTCAGTGTTCTATCCATCTGCCATCGGCTAGCTCAGTCTGTCACATAAAATTTGCTTGCCGTGAGTCCGCACTGAATAATAGAATCTTCAGTCCTAAGGGAGGTTCGGCTGTGAAGATCTAAAGACTAGCTAGAAAGCAAGAAATCCAACCATTTCCTGCTTCCTAGCTAATCTAAATCTCCTGGCACAACAGAACGAACAGCTGATGGTTGGAAAAAGGAAAAATAGCAATTTAGCAGGGAAGTTTGTCGGGTAAGGAGTGGGCAGGGAGGGTTCCCACGGGCCATGTGGGTGGCGCAGCCTTGTGTTTCTGCACAGCCTGGATTGATTGCTTTGGGGGTGATGTTCTTGGGGTGAGATTTCTCTGCGACCCACAAAAATTTTCTCACGACCCACCAGTAGCGACCACTGATCTATGCCACACACAACTTCCAACCTGTAATTCTGCAACACAGCTGCAATGCAGCTGAAACATGATGAAAACTGTCTCATATCTGACAGAAAATCTATTTCAGTTATCTATTCTCTAATCTTTAATACCACTGTTCTTGTTTTTCATAGGATATGAATGTACATTGGTGCATTTGTTAACTGCTGTAATAGATACAAAGCTTAGCTTTATTTATTTACTTATTTAGCTTTCTCTCAGCAGCAGCAAATAAGTTAAACATATATTTCTTGAAAGGTCTCAGATCAACATATTCTAAGAGATATTAAACGATGTATCACACCTTCAACTTAAATATATTTATATTTATTTATTTATTTTATTGCAGGAAAGAATTTCTGGCCTTGATGGAGAAGTACAGTTCACACAGTAACTCCAATAGGAATTCCCCAACGCAGCTCCTAACTGGTAAGGAGTTGCTTATGTTTTCACTCTGCAATATAAGAAAACAGTAGAGAATGCTTCTTGGCCTGATGGCCCCCATTAATATTTCAGGTTGGTAGAGAAGCTTTCACGAATTGGAAGGTAGACCTTTAACCCAGATTTTATGGGCTGATGTTTGATGGACAGAAAGGACACCTCAGTTCAATCAAGAATATATGTGTGTGTGTGTGTATGTATCTATGTATCTGTGTGTGAGTGTGTGTGTGTGTGTTTGTTTTCTGAGGTTTTGGATCTTTGGTTATTTGGGTTTTCTCCTGCGTAAAATTGGAAGTATTTTGGCGACGTTTCGATGAAATCTCATTCGTCATCTTCAGGCTTGTGTCTTCAGCTTTGTGCTTCTTGGAGTAATGTGAGCTTGCAGCTGTTTTTTCTTTTAACTGCCAGTGGGAGTGCAGCTTGACTAGGTGGGGGCTTGGCTGTGTTCTGATTGGGTGGGGGTGTGCTCTCATTGGTTGGGGGCCTGGCTGTGATCTGATTGGTTGGGGGGTTGGCTGTGTTCTGATTGGCTGGGGATGTGTTCTGTTCAGGTGGGGGCTTGGCTATGTTCAGGTTAGTCTTAGTTGTTGGGGGATTTGAGCTGGTGAGCTGTGATCCTGTTGTTTGGCTTCACGTTCGTGGTCGTGCCACATCTTCATGTTGGGTGTCAGTTTGCTTCATATATGGGTCGGAGGGGTTTGAAGCGGGTAGTGATGCAGCTGGATACGGCTTCTGGTCCGTGGTCGTGTCTCATCATCTGTGTGGGTGTGAATCTGCTTTCTACATGGAAGTGTGGTGGTAGCATCTTGTGTAGCCTTCATGGGTGTGGGTCTGGTGTCATTCTTCATGTTAGGTACTTGTTTGTTAATGAGGGCAGGTTTCCAAATGGCTGGTAGGCGGGAGGTATCATCTCGTTTGTTCATGCTGTGTGGGCGTTTTTCTATCTCTATGGCTCCTCTGATTATTCTGTTGTTAAAGTGTTGAGTTTGGGCGATAGTTCTGGTATTTTTAAAGTCAATCTCATGTCCTGTGTCTTTGAGGTGCTGAACCAGGGAAGAGGTCAGTTCTTCTTTTTTGATTGAGTTCTTGTGTCCTTCAGTGCGTGCACTAATTCTTCTGTTGGTTTGTCCGATGTATGTGTTGGGGCAGGCAGTGCATGGGATTTCGTATACTCCTTGGTTTTCTAACTCGATTCTGTCTTTAGGGTTTCTTAGGATGGTGGATATTTTTCTGTTTGTGCAGAATGCTGTCTTAATGTTGTGTCATTATAGTTGTGCTTTTAAAGTTGCAGCAATGTTCGAACACAATACAGAAGCCTGATGATAGCAGATGAGATTCTGCCAAAACGTTGGTACAACTTTAAAAGCACAACTATAATGACGTGGGAAAATACCCGAACAAAGCTGAATGCCATACACACACACACACACACACACACACACACACACACACAGACACACACACACAGACACACACACTTTATGAGACTGAACAGTAGAGTAGTAGTGTCACACTGCCCCCTAGGGCTTCATTTGTACAATTCCAAATGTTTGATGGTTTGAGAACATATTGAGTCTATAATTCCAAAGTGTGCCAGGTAAATAATTAACTGTATTCTCAGGTGATCACTGGCTAACACTGCTGTGTTATAATTGTGCCACAGTGAGAGGAAAAACACTAGTAAACCAGCTGTTCAGGACCATTTCAGGGCCCAGAATCCCATATTGCACATAGGTTACCATGTCATGTGTCAATTCCAATCAATTAAAGTCTATGCAGGGCCTTGCACTGTAATATAGGAAACTCTTTCTGACTTAGTGTTTAAAAGGAAAATAACTTAATTGTTGCTAACTTCTATTTTGTCAAAGTGCTTGCGAGTTTATTTTTTGCCCATGTGAATAAAAGATTGGAGCTTGAAGCGTTTATCTATTATAAACGGCTGAACAGAGCAGATTGCAAATTCATTGTAAAAGATGGCTTGGGGCTTATCAGTTTGTTGTGGTTAAATTATATTTGCCCTTTACCTTTTTCCCAAGGAGCACATGGTAGGAAGATTCTCCTCACATCCCATTTCCTTCACTGTGAGGTAGCGTAGGCTGAGCTTTATGACTGAATGGTGATTTGAAGTGAGGTTTCCCCAGCCCTTGTCCAGCAGTCTGTTAAATTATAATTCTGTCTGTTTTATTGGGGAGTCATTTCTGTCCTTACTGGTAGGCAGTTTAGTCGGAGAACATTCATAGATGGAAGTACTATTTACAGAACTCAGTCCTCAATTTACAACTGTAATCAGAAACAGAATTTCCATTGCTAAGGGGGACAGTTGTTAAATGAGCTGCATTTGATTTTACGACCTTTTTACTGCAGTCATTAAGTGAATCGTGCAGCTGTTAAGCAAATCCAGCTTCCCCCATTGACTTTGCTTTTTGAAATCTGGCTGGGAAGGTCACAAATGGCCAGGGCACTGCAATCATCATAAATACCTGCCAGTTGCCAAACACCAGAATTTTACAAATCTTAAAGTTGCCAAGGTTGGACACCCCTGCTATAAAAGATGTTTGGGGTTATATTTGGCCCTGGAATTGCCAGTCTGTTCCCTTCCTTGATGTCAGGGAACTCACTTAAGATGCTCTTAACAGGATATTGTGATCCTTGGATTAGAACCCATTCTTCACCCCTACTTTAAAATAATAGAAGATTTGAACAAGAGGCAGCAATCTTTGTGTATTGAGAAGTTGTTTGCTGTGGTGGATGTCTCATTTTTTTCCTCTTCGCAAAGGTGTTGATAGCTTTTCTTCAGGCACATCTTCAGTGAGTCCTTCGCTATTTCATCCAAAGGACACTGTGACAAACTTCCCAGAAAGGCCTGCGGCGGTAACTTCTCTTCAAGCCATCACAAAGTAACTATGCGAAGTTTGTTTTCCATGGAGAGTTTGGGGAAAAGATAGGATGCTGGGCTGAAAGCACAGGAACATTGTTTCCAAAGCCTCCCTTTTAATCTAAGATTGTGAGCTGTCAATACTGACAGAAGGTCCTCAAAGGGGCACAGGTTTCAATTCTCTGCATGGAATTAACTATGGAGAATATCATAGCCAGGCTCTGCTGCATTTTCTGTAGTTTGCTTGCAATTATTTTTCTTAAATAGTCTTGGTTTTTAAGGAGCATAGGATCTTGTCCTATGTCAGTTCAGAGGTAATCCTTTGAACCCATTCAATAGAACTGAAGAAATCTCTTGGATGAAAAAAGAAATGTTTTTAAAGAAAAAAAAAACTCAAGGAGGTTCACTTGCCTTTTGGAAAAACCACCTTTGGGACAACTATGACCCAGATGATTATGAATCTCCATAGACTTCTTTCCATCCAGTACTGTCAGGCTTTTCCTGTGACCTGCTCCAAATCTTTTAAACTTGAGACCCTGAGCATGCATCCTGGCACTTCCCCAAGGCCTTTCTTGATTTACCTTTTTCCTTTTTAAAAAAATAAGCAAACAAACAAACAAGCAAACCTTGTTGTTGTCTAAGTAGATTCTGAGGGCTGAGAGACACTACAACTTCCAGGCTGGGAACTTGCACCTATAATCCTTTGTAGATGGGGAAAAAACTTTGTCTGGCCTCATTTTTCAAAACCTGGAAAAGAAGTAATGGATTTGGTCACAGTTGCTTAGCAACTGTGCTTTTCTTTCATGGGCCCAAGTAAAACTCCTAGCTTTGTTCAGTGGCAAGCAGACATATATCCAGGAGACAACTGCAAGGCCACCCAGCCTGCACATTTTCTGTCATAGTTACTGATCCAGGACACATACATTTCTGAAATTATGAAGTGAAAATTGCCCAACAGCAGGAACCCTACTGGGTTCTAAGCTTGGTGTCTCTAGACATATTGGCCTCTGTGACTGCCATGCTTTGGGGACAGCATCTTAAAACAGCCTGGTTGAAAGCAGTTGCCTTGCCGGCACTCAATCAGCATTGTCTCCTTTGATTTAGATTTTATTTTTATGTTGCATTTATTATTTTTTAGAAATAACGTATGGCAGCAAACATATCCCACACATCTTCCTCCTCCTATTTTCCCCCATAGCAATAATGGTGGGGTAGGGTGGGTTGAGGGAGAGTGACTGACCCTCACCTAGCTGACTTTCATGGCTAAGGCAGAAGTTGAACTCATGGTCTCCTGCTTTCTAACCTGGTGCCTTAACCACTAGACAAAACTGACTCTCATCTTTAAATTTAAAACAACTATTTAAAATTTTTGTATCCCTGCTCCTTTTCCTTAGGTTCCAGGTCCAAACCTTCTTTTGTTTTATTGTCATGTCTCATTATGCTTATATTATGGACCACGAGACATTTTCCTGGTATGCTATCATTGAGTTTACAGAGAAATATATAAAACGCCTGTTTTCCCTGGTCTTGGCTTCCCATTAAACTTCAAATTCAATGGAGATTTATAAAGCTCCACTTTTAGGCTTGTAGAAGAAAGGAAGACAACAGTGACAAAAACACTTCCATGTTATTGCCAAGATAACTCATGAACTTATTATGAGTCAAACAAAACTTAAGAGTTTAACTTGACATATGTTTAATTTGCATATTATTACAGTAAGAATATAGACAGCGGTTGGTCAATTAATCCCCATTTTCAGAAATTGCAAATCTCTCTGCAAGCAGAACTCTCTGGTTATTTTTTTCCTTCAATACATTAAGATAATGGTCTGGTTCAGAGTTGGTGCCAGAAATATATAAAATGCCTGTTTTCCCTGGTCTTGGCTCACCATTAAAGTTCCAAGTTCTATGCAGATTGATACAGCTCAGCTTTTAGACATGTAGAGATCGGCATTGCCCCGAGGCATTTGCTGCCTGAGGTTTTCCTGATTGCACATGAGGTGTCTCTCAAGGCAGGCACTGAGTCCTGGCAGATGGCGGTGGTGTTAGATGGGGTAAGGCAGACCAAGTGATTTTGCCAGGCAACCTCACGTTCTGTCTGCTCATCTAAGAGAGATCCCTTGCAGTCTGATGGAGCCTAAAGACAGGTTACATTCTGGCATGGGTTTAGTTATACAATTGCCTTGTCTGAAACATGTCAGAGTATTTGCAGTGTGACTACCATTATCAGACAACCCAGGAGCAAAACACACAGCACATAGAGACTTAGATATTTGACATGGTTTATATACAACAGTGATATACAGACATATACGTGGTAGGCAATATAACTTACAAGCAAACTTTCTTCTTCTTAACACAGAGAACTTCTGCAATGAATACCAGACACAAGGAGAGAGAAAAACATGCCCTCTAATGGCTGTAATATATAAACATCTCTTAAAGGGATCTTTAATCCCCAGTCTTAAAGAAAAATACCCATGCTATGCTGATTCCCAGTCTTA